CATGTCACAAGGAGCATGTCCGCTGCTGTTCGTGCTGCTGTGAAAAACATTGTTGCAACGGATTCTGATGGCTCGCATGACAGGCGCACGAGCACCCACCACACAGGTACTTGAGGCCTCCGTTTGCACATGCAAATCTTCCATCGTCGTGTCTGTGGCGAGCCATGATGGTTCCAGTAAAGCTGTCCCGTGCACTAGACAGGTCATCAATTCGAGATACATGGCGAGCAGAGAGAGCTTGAACACACAGATCTATTCTGCGACGAAGTGGATGCAACTGGGAGACCAAGTGGTAAGGACCGAACCCAAGGCAACTCTGTGCATCGCTATGCACGATAGTGGGGATTCTGGAAATCAGGTGTCCCAATCTGTTTTCAAGATTGCAAGAAGAGAGCTGCTGCCAGGTTAAGGCAATTCAGAGTGAGCCGTAGTGGTCGTCATGCAATTCGGCGATGATAATCCGTCGTTTTTTTTCCTTTTCACGCAGTTGGCAGTGATAAATATTGATCTAGAAATATAAACATACGTTACGAGCACTGTTGATCTGGTAGCACGAAATGCATTTCAGTCTGCCCTTGAAAACGATCTCCCCATCAGTATGAAAACCACCATGCCTTGCATTCATCAGGGAAATATCCATCGCTTCTATTCAAAATCGCCAGAAAAATGTCAGGATTCTTTTTCCCATCAATTTTGGCACCCACAAATTGTAAAATTGTCCAAAATTTCCATCAGGGCCATTGCATTCCATTGATCATGTACTTTGATAAAGAGCTCCATTCCTTTTAGCATATACTCCTCGGCTAAGCGAAGCCTTTTGTGTTCGCAGAACAAAATTCCCAATGCAGTGTGAGTTTTATCCTGCATATGCAAGTCATCCCATTCAATTTCGATGTCAAGTGCCCGTTGGTGTCTCTGACAAGCCTCCACAAAATCATTCTAACTCATGGGCAACCATTCCCATCTGGTGGTAGGTGGTCGCTTGGGCGTGCTCAGCACCGAATTCAATGTAGATGTTGAGTGCACATTGATAGTTCCGACGAGCCTCCACAAAATCCCTCAATTTTTGTGCCACGATCCCCAGTTGGTGGTAGGTGTCAGCCTGTGAATATCGATCGTTGAGTTTGATTTTGAGGTCGAGTGCACATTGGTAGTTCTGATGGGCCTCTGCGAAATTGCACAGCTCCTCTGCCAGCACCCCCATCTGATGGTAGGTGCTGGCTTGGGAATGTTGATCATCCAATTCAGTGAATACATCAAGTGGCCATTGGTACCTCGGACGAGCTTCCCAAGAGTCCCACAACCGATGGGCAACTATCCCCATCTGGGGCAGGTGTGGGCTAGGGCCTGTCGATCATCAAATTTGATGCAGATTTTGAGTGCCCGTTGGTAGTTCTGACGAGCCTCCGCAAAATCTCTCCACTCCTCGGCCACCATCCCCATCTGGTGGTAGGTGCCAGCTTGGGAATGTTGATCATTGAGTGCAGCATAGATACGGAGTGCCTGTTGGTAGTTCTGACGAGCCTCCACAAAATCCCTCAGCTCTTGGGCCACCACCCCCATCTGGTGGTAAGTGCCGGCTTGGGAATGTTAATCATTAGACCTAATGTAGATATCGAGTGCATGCTGGTATTTTTGACGAGCCTCCACAAAATTTCTCGACATTGCAGCCATTGTCCCCATCTGGCGATAGACGTGGGCTTGGGAATGCTGATCTTTAAATTGAGTGAAGATGTCAATTGCTCTTTGATAGTTCGAACTAGCCTCCACAAAATCCCTCAGCTCTTGGGCCACCACCCCCATCTGGTGGTAGGTCTTGGCTTGGGAATCTTGATCATTGAACTCAATGTAGATGTCCAGTGCCTGTTGGCAGCTCTGACGTGCCTCCCCAAAATTCCTCAGCTGGTAGGCCACTGTCCCCAATTGGTGGTAGGTGCCAGCTTGGGAATGTCGATCACCGAATTCGATTGTGATGTCAAGTGCCCGTTGGTAGTTCTGGCGGGCCTCCACAAAATTCCTCAACTCCTGGGCCACCATCCCTACCAGGTGGTAAGCGTTAGCTTGGGAATGTCGATCACTTAACTCAAGATAGATATCCAGCGCTCGTTGGTAGTTTTGATGAGCCATCGCAGAATCACTCAACTGGTACTCCATTGTCCCCATTTGGCGGCAGATGTTGGCTTGGGAATTCCAATCATTCAATGTAGATGTCAAGTGCTTTCTGGTAGTTTTGAAGAGCGTCCCGAAAATCCCTGTTTTTTGAGGCCACCATCCCCAGACTGTGATGGATTCCACCAAGCCGAGACCTGATATCCTTGGCATTGCTCTCGGCATACTCTACCATCATAAGAGCTCCCGCATATGCTTCTCTTGCATTCCCATTGTCGTTGAGTTTGGCATGCATGTCACCCAGCATACCTTGGATCCCTGCAAGTCCCACCTTTATGTCATCAGTCTTGCATGGAGATGGGTACACATTTTGAGCCTGGACTATCATATCAAAGTGTTGCATCAAACACGTGCCAATATCGATGCTGGCATTGCAGATATCTGCACTCTCCACATCCTCCATGCACATCACCAATGCGTTGCGTAAATTTTCATATTCAAGAGTGCACAGCTGCAATCCAGACACCCTTTCCTCAGGATACTTGGATTCCATGAGGCACAAATAAATATTGGCTGCATGTTGGCAGGCTGCCTTGAAGGCCACACGAATCGCTTTGTGCTGATCTTCACCCCACTCAGCCATCTTCGTTTTCAGGAAGAAGGGGAACACTGGGTGCACATTAAGCAATTGTCTTTCATCCTCACCACTTGCAGCGGGACTGCAAGGTGACAACAACCCCAAGTTAATGGCATCTTTTACAGGCGCAGCAAACACGGCAAAAGTGATCTTGCCAAAGGGTGCATGCTCTTGTATCTCTTCGGCATATATATGCAAGGTACGTCAAGACAAACACTAGGAAAAAAAGGGCAAAATAACGTGTACAAAGTTTACGGGTTTGTGTTATTTCTGTGTTCTTAGCGTGTAGAACTTTGATGAAATGTGTTTTATGTGTGCTCGAAAAAGTGCAATTTGGCTGTTTTTTTCCTAGTGAAACCGACACTGAAGGGCGCCAAACAAACCAGCAGTAGCTGCGATTGGAGGCACAAAGTGCTGACAGAGTAGTCTATGCAGTGGAAAATACTGCTGTCCTTTTCATCTGGAGGAGCATCCACATGTTTATCTGCTCTGTCAAGGGCCATATGAAGTTGCCTTGGAGTATGTTGATCCAGATTGGCTAGCCCCACCTCCATCACCAAGGGATACCCCGACCTGCACCTCTGAACTTTGCTCTGATGTGCAGACCAAAGCGCGTGTGCCCTTGTTTCTCCGCTATGTAATGAGGGCTGCAAGTCACCTTGTTCAGGAGCTGTTTTGAGCCACACGGAGATTTCGTCCGGCATCTCCGGGTTTAAGTGTTCGCAACCAATTGATCCAAAATTTTCTGGATCAAATTGGACACGAATTTGAATATCTGGTCGAAATTTGAACGCTATGGGAGATGTTTTAACGGGATTTTCCAAGGCTTAAATCATACCTGGCAAACCTTTTGGGATGGAGGAAGTGCAACTTTGCAACAGCATGATGGGTTTTCCGCGATTGCAACCAGCCGCATCTTAGCGGCACTGTGCAGAGACGTCATCTCACTCGGGCAGGAGCAGTGTGAGGGGCGAACTTCAATCTCTAACGCAAATGTGGGCGCCTATCGCCATGAAGCTGCTGCATGGGTACGGTTGAGACACACCCGGTGCTCAGCAACTGTGACCTGGCCCAGCGGCCCGGATGCGAGCGTAGACTACCGTACGGGGCTAATCGTATCGTGGGATGTAGGTACACGGAAGGCGAGGCTCGTCAGCCGCACGAGCAGGGCGCGGGCTGTTCTGGCCACATCTAACGCTATCCCACCAACGAGGTGCCAACCAGAAGCCACATCTAGTCGCGGGCGCGGCTCCACACACCACATCTGGCATTTCGCCACGAACACGGGCCAGTCAGAAGCAGCAGCTTACGCCATACGCGTCCAGTCCACCACATTCGTAGGCCGCGGACTGACGGGGTGAGTTCGAGGCCAGGCCAATCATTACACACACGCGGCGGCGCTCTTGGCCGTCCTCCGGTCCACCACACTTGTGTAACGGGCGTCCGTCAATCAGTTACTCCTGTGCGCCGGGCACGCGACAGCTTATATAGGCCGCCTCGCAGGCTGCGCTCAGCAACTCACCCCTGTCGAGCACCAGCCTGGCACTCGCCGCCCCAACCCGCCTGAATCCTGACGGAACCGAGGGAACGCAGCACCCCCGTCATCTGCTGCGCCCGGCGCCTTTGTGCCAAAGGAGGGAGGCACTCAGGGGATCGACGGCGGAGAGGCGGCGCCCAAGTATAACCAGATGGCATCGATGAGCGGATCCAGTTGCATGCTCGTGGCCGTGCTGGCGGCTACCCTGTTTGCTGTGGCGCGGTGTCAGTGCCCGGTGAGGCTCGCCTTTCACATCGCCGACGGGGGGTCGCAGCGCTGCGCGGTTTGTGTCCGCTGGGCTCGCGCGATCGGAACACAGGGCGTCCATCGCCAGATGGCGCCCGGCGGCTCATCGGGTGCGTGCCCCCTGCATTCGTCGATTGCAGGACGCCCGGTAGGGTCCGGAGGCTTGCCTTTCAAAGCGCCGACGGGCGACAGATCCGTGCGTTCCTTTTTCGTGGGGTCCGCGGGGTCGAGACGCGCA